ATTGTGGTTCTGGTGCGATGCGGCGCGGAGAGTGCAGAGAGAGAGAGGGAGTGCCGACGGGGTGGGACGGGGCGAGGGGTTGCAGTTCTGCTGCGGCGGTTGCCTCCTCGAAGCCGCGTAACTGCTTCGCTCGCGCGGCGTACACCGCACTGGCAGGGTCGAGGCGCGCCGCCGTCCGCGCGTGACGCACCGCCTCCGACATCACCTGCAGACAGCAGCTCCGAGACAGACTCAGCTCTGGGACGCCTCGGCGGCGCGGTGGCGCGCCGCTCCGCCGCCGCCACCTACAGTGACGCCCTCGCGTCGGCCTCGCGCCCGACTCGCTCTCGCAGCACCTCGGCCCCGCCCGCCGCACACCTGGAGGGAAAGCCAAAGGAACGGTCTAGCAGAGCGTCTCGCGGAGCGCGCGCTCGCTCGCCCGCCGCCGCCGCCTCGGCCGCGCGGTCGTCGATGTCCTCCGGCGCCGCGAGCTCGAGCAGCGGGTCGCTCGCCTGGTTTCGAATCATCGAATACATACTCGAACCAACCGAACCGCCTGGCAAGCCGAGTACGCCAGCCTCGGGGCGGGGAGACGGTGCTGTGCAGTGTCTTCAGAGGACCGCGGGAAGACGAGGGGGGCGAGGACAGTGAATACAGCGGAGTACGGCGGAATACAGCGGGGTACGTGTCCTCTCGAGACAGGCGACTGCGACACGGCTAGGTCGGAGTCCCGGGCGCTGGTTTGGAGCCCTCACCCGCCAAGGCAGGTGTGCACTCTGCTAGTACTTGTGTACTCACACCACTACACTGTGGGGTGTGCCCGAGCATGATGTATGTGCGCGTCTGTGTGTGTGTGGGACAGACGTTGTTGTCCTATGCGCGGGGCTTCCCGCGGGGACCGAAGACGTAACAGCAGCAGCAACCGGGCGCTGGTTTGGGTCCTACTCCTTGACCCCGGGTCTGGCGACGCGTGCGAGGCGCTGCAAGGCTGCTTCCGGGTGTACCTGGCCGTCGATCCGTCGTACGACATCCAGGCGGCCGCACTCCCGCGCCCACCGCACTCCCTCTCCCGCCGCACCTCGGCGCCGGAGAGCGGACAGCGGGCGGCCTCAGGGCTCTGACCGGCCTGGACGCCTCAGTCCAGCTGCTCCCGGCCGAGGGGCAGATCTCCCCAGATCTCCCCAGATCTCCTCATGTCTCCCCATATCTCCAGCTGCTCCCGGCCGAGGGGCTCGCACCAGCAGCCGAGACAGACGGTGGTGCGATGTGGCGGCGGCCGCAACGTCGGCGCCGGCGCCGGCGCCCGTCCCCTCGGCGTGAGACCGGAGGGCAATCGCCTCGCGCAAGGACCTACTCACATCTCCCCACATCTCCCGAGGGGGCTCTGCGGACGGCCTCTGTTCACACCGCCTCGCGCGGCCGCCTCGCCGCCCGCCTCCGCTGCTGCTTTGTGAGGTTGACGAGCGTGAGGTTGGCGGCCGTCGGAGCGTCGAGCAGCGCCGCGGCGAGAGCGTCGTGCGCCGTCGCCAGCGCCGTCGCAACCTCGAGACACACGGCCGGGACGCGTCCAGACTTGTGGAGCGCAGGGTGGGAGGGGGCGGACAGCGGTTTTGGGGAGCGGGCGCCACAGTGTCGGGAGGGAGCGCCCGGCGTGGGTCTGCCGTGCGCGTCCGCCTGCGGCACGTCCGGCGCGAGCTTGCGCGCCCGCTTGAGAGAGGCGACCGCGGCCTGGTGCGACCCGCGGCTGGTTTGCGCCTGGCCCAGCATCGCGTGGCCGCGCCAGTCGTCCGGCGCCCGCTCCGCCTGCCGCACAAACGTCTGGAACGCGTGCTCGTCGAGCGTGCCCTCCTGCAGCCGGTCGGATGCCTCGCGCAGCTCGTCGATGTGCGTGGCGCCGCGGTACCAGTCGTCCGAGCCGCTCGCCGAGGAGAGGGCGACCAGGGCCAGAGAGAGCGCGGGAGAGCCCATGTTCGCAAAAGAAACCGCGACACGCAGCGTGCGATCTAGATTGAGCACACGCGCCTCTGCTCGCAACCACTCATCCAATGAACTGTCGTCACCCATGAGTGCGAGATAGGGCTGGCGGCTGGCCGCTAGCCTGTGACGAGGCCGTCCATAGACACCTCACTCACAAGACCCCACACACGGTCTCGTCCATGCCTTGCAGCCGGCGATGAGATTGCTAGAGGCGGAGCAAGCCTGCTCTAGTCTCACACGTTCGCCCCTGTCGCCTGTCTGTGTCGTTGTGTGCTGGTTGTTTGTCTCTTGGCACCTTGGAGTGCTGGGGGGGGCGACAGGGGGGACGTGGCCTTGAGTGATGTGTACGCCCACTCAGGGTGTGTGGCGGCCACGCTGGCTGTGTGTCTTGTGAGCTTGTTTGTGTCTGTGTGTCGCTCGTGCGTGTCGTCATCATCTGTCCAGCGTCCACCCATACGACCGCGTTGGTGTCCAGTCCGAGCCTGACTGTTCTTCGCCTTCCTACATACATACATACGAGCATGTCACCGCGCTGGCTGGCGTGGACTCGCAAGACTCATGCTCACAAATCAAGGTTTTGTTGTCAAACTCTTTTCTCTTCTTGTGCGCGCGCGGCACCCCCTAGGGACCTACTCTGGCGCTCCCCTGGGTTTCGCGGGATGACAATCTCGCGGAGGCACAAAATGAAAAAAGACTTTCACGATAAAAAAAGAAAGTGGCAGCACGCCTCTTCCCGCGACTCGGCGGGCGCGTAGAGAGCGCTTGAATGGCATTCAAGCGCGACAATGCTAGTCGCCTCCGCTCTCCGCGACGCGGAGCGGTGCATGAAGGGCGGCAGTTGTCGCAGAGAAATTTGTGACTTCAGTTGCCATTCTCCTCCACAGATGAGGCGTCGACCGGCTCCGGCTCCGGCTGCGGCGCCTCCGCCTCCTTGCCGTCATAGCGCGAAAACGTGAAGGCGGTGGAGTAGGGCCCAGCCAACTCGTAGTTGCTAACGCTGCCCTCGATGGCCCCTTCCGCTTGCGCCGATGTCTTGAACGAACCGGCGACGGGGTAGAGATCCTTCTTGCCGTGGCGCGGCGCCGTCGACGAGAAGGACTGGCCGACAAGACCCCCGTGGGGCAGGGAGCGGGCGGCAGCGTCACCCCGTGCGCTCAGGCTGACGTCGATCCGATGCTTCGGACCGGAGACCCACCCGTATACGAAATTGCCGTGCACGTTCACCGTCCAGTTGCGAAGGGTGAAGATGGCGGACGATGTGCCCATCCTCATCTCGAGCTCGAAGCAGCCCTTGTATCCGTTCTTGCCAAACTTGAAGGTTCGGCCGGCGCAGTTGCCTCGGACAACCTCCCAGCCCATATTATGGACGTCGAGCTCAGAGGCATAGAAGGAGGCCGTGGCCTCCCGCCGCCCCTTATCGACTCTCGCGACCACGTGAGCCTCGGTGAGGTAGCTCCCGTTCACAGCCACCTTGCCTCCACGAAGCGTGAAAGTACTCTCCTCCACCTTGACGTTGACCGCGAGCCCCGGCGCCGAGAAGAATGCGTAGCACACATCGTTTTGACCGCGAAAGTCTGCCTCGCCGCCGTGCGCAAAGTGCAGATGGGGGTCACCGTTGCTCTTCCCCTCAGTGACGGGTTCTTCATCCGGGACAGGCGTCGGGGGCGCGAGGGTAGGAGGGGGTGGCGGGGGAGGAGGAGGCGGAGGAGGCGGGGATAGCGACGGCGAGGGATCCGGCACGACTGGTGATGCGCCGAGCAGCGCCTGCAGGTCGCCGAGCAGCGCCTCGGCCGGCAGGTCCTCTCCCTCTCCGGCGGTGACGAGGAGGTCGTCCGTCTGGATCAGCTCCAGGTCCGCGTCTGGGATTCTTTCTTTTTGGAAGTGCGCGCCGCAGTGCGGAAACGGGGCCCCGGCTCCACTAGTCTCCACTAGCACCGACTTCCTGATTAAGTACGGTTAAGTAGAGGGCAGATTTGGCAAATTCTTTTCGCAGCCACCCAAAAGGTTTTCTTTTCTTCGCGATGTCCACCCCACCGCGCCGCTCGCGCCGCTCGCGTCGCCTCGCCTCCGCCGCCACCGCCGCGCCCTCGCCAAGCACGCCGCCGCCCGCCCGCCTCCTCGACCTCCCCACGGAGCTCCTCGTGCGCGTCGTCTCTCGCTGCGACCCCGCCGACATCGCTCGCGTCGCGGCCGTCTCGCTGCTCTTTCACGCCTCGCTTGTGGTGGAGGGCATCCACTTGTGGGCGCAAGAGCGCGGCTTCGAGCTGCCGGCGCAGCCAGAGGGCGAGAGCTGCGCCGTGCGGTGGCTGTGCTATTCGGCGCTGCTGTGCGAGTCCAACCCGCCAGCGAGGGCGGCGGCAGGTGGGCGGCACAGCCTCTTCATCGACGGCGAGGGGCGGCTTTCGTCGTGCGGCTCGGCGCCGTCCTACACTCCAGGGCAACTGGGCCATGGTGAGGGCGTGACACAGCTCAACACGCCGACCCGCCTCCCGTCGATGCTGGGCGGCGAGCGCGCCGTGAGTGTGTCGGCTGGCGCCGCGCACAGCCTCGCCCTCGCCGCCGACGGCAGTGTCTGGAGCTGGGGCTTTGGAGCCTCTGGCCGATTGGGCCACGGCGACTTTCAGGAGCAGCTGCAACCGACGAAGATCGAGGCCTTTGCTGGCCAGCGCGTCGTCGCCGTCTCGGCAGGATCCCGCCACAGCCTCGCCCTTTCCGATGGCGCTGTCTGGAGCTGGGGCGAAGGATACTCCGGCAGGTTGGGCCACGGCGACCAGCAGAACCAGCTGCTGCCCAAGGAGATCGTGGCGTTCGCAGGGCACCGCGTTGTCGCTGTGTCTGCTGGAGCCGTGCACAGTCTCGCCCTCACCGCCGACGGAGCTGTCTGGAGCTGGGGCTATGGAAGGCGAGGCCGGTTGGGCCACGGCGACGAGCAGAACCAGTGGCTGCCAAAGAAGATCGAGGCGCTGGCTGGGCAGCGCGTCGTCGCTGTGACGGCTGCACAGAGCCACAACCTCGCCCTCACCGCCAACGGCGCCGTCTGGAGCTGGGGCTTGGGATCCTTTGGCCAGCTGGGCCACGGCGATCACCGGAGCCTGCTGCTGCCCAAGAAGGTCGAGGCCTTGGCTGGCCAGCGCGTCGTCGCTGTGTCGGCAGGAGACAACCACAGCCTCGCCATCACCGCCGACGGCGCCGTCTGCAGCTGGGGCGATGGAGGGGAGGGCAAGCTGGGCCACGGCGACCAGCAAGAGCAGTTGTTGCTTCTCCCACGGCTGCGCCCCAAGAAGGTCGAGGCCTTTGCTGACCAGCCCGTCATCGCCGCGTCGGCTGGACAGCACCACAGCCTCGCCCTCACCGGCGACGGCGACGTCTTTACCTGGGGCAGGGGCGAACAGGGCTGCCTAGGCCACGGGGAGGAGCTGTCCAACCAGCTGCTGCCCAAGAAGATCGAGACGTGGGCGCCGGGGCAGTGAGTACACCTCAGGTGTCGAGGGGTGCCATGGCGTGGTGTGACATGCTGGCACTCACTCCTCACTGCAGCAACTCTAGCACCGCCGCCGTGGTTGCTGGCACGCACGGCTCGGAGCCTGACGAGGCTGGCGGCGAGGCTCTCTGGGAGGCCCCTGCTGCATATATGCAGATAGTGTCGTGAGGCCACTGGCTTGATGCAGAGATAGTGTCGTGCGGGCCGGCAGCCCTGTGGGAAGCGCTGGGAACCCCCCGATCGCTCGCGCGGACGAAAGAATTTTGCCGGCAAAAGAATTTTATCGCCCAGAGTGGCCCTTGGCCTTGCGCGAGAGGAGAGCTCCCCAGAACCTCTCCTGCGCTCCAATATGATAGAATATGGACCGCATATTGCATATATGCTCCAAGGGTGGGCGACGGCTAAAGCCGTAGCACGTAGCAGTAGCACGACCACACTCCTCTCCTTAAAATCCCTGTGTGGTTCATCCGACGGGTCCTCCAGCGGCAGCGCGCCCCGCATGCAGTTCCAGTTGCACATTTTTGTGCATGTTGAGTTGTGCTCACCCACACGTGCACCGGGCCAGTGCTTGCACTTTGAATGCCGTGGGGCTCCTGCCCGTGTCCGGGTGTGGAGATGCGAGGGTCGCCCCCCCTTGCCCCACCACTTTGTGTGTGTGGAGAAATTTACCTTGCCTTACCTAGTTGTGCCCCCTCTCTGTGTGTGTGTCTCGCCCCCCTGTGCACACATGCGTGCATGCATCCGCATGGCCGCACCACCCGCACCCGTCGAGCCGGGATGGGGTGGGGTGGGGTGGGGTGGGCAATAAAAAAACCGGCGCTCCCCGTGCCCCGACCGAGCCCCCACCGCGCACCGGCACCGCGACTCGACAGGCCGCTGCACAGCGGAGCAGCGCCGGAGGCCCGGAATCATAGATTTTCCGGACGAGGAAGAGAACCCACCCCCCCGCGGCTCCGATCATCCGCGCCGCCGCGCTCGGTCCACGTACGAGCCCATCGGTGACGCGCCCCCCCCTACCCCTCCGCCTCCCGCTGGCGCTGCCGCTCTGCTCTTCTTCGCTCGCTCTCGAGCGTGCCGCTGGCCCTTGCGCGCCGGCTGCCTCCGCGCCGCGGCGCGCCACCCGGCGAGAGCCAGGGCGAGGAGCGCGCCGATGCAGGCGGCCGGAAAGAGGCGGCGCGCGTACGGCGTAGGCCTCGCACCGGCAGCCTCGCGGCCGAGCTCCTCAAAGGCGGCGGAGCGCCGTTGCCGTTGCTTCTCGTGCAGCGCGTCGTGCAGCGCCTTAAACTTGCTCTTCTCTCCCTCCCCCTCCTTGGAGAAGCGGATCCCCATCTCTCGCATTTTGGCCGCATTCCGGTGGTGTTCCTGCGGTGCGGTGGCGACGTGCGGTGATTGAAAAGGCGCGGGGCCGGAGGCTTGTGCGGGAGTTCAAACAGGGACAGGGCCAGGACGGTGTGCGAGGGTGATGCATGCGCACGCGCCTGCGCAAGCTCGTACAGCGCGTTGAACGTCTCTTGCTGCACGACCTCATCATCGCGGTTGGCGGCGGCAAAGGCGGCGAGTGCGTCGATGGTGCCCGCGTCCAAGACCGCCTCCTTAGATGCAATATTGAGATCCCCCCCCCACACACACACACACGTCATACTCCAGTCACAAGGCAACAAGCAAGCTACTCAGTCGGGTATGTGCCGTCAACGCCCCATCTCTGCTACCCTGCAGGTATGTCATCATCGCCCTGCTGGTCTCGCTCGACTTCGAGTCCATCCTCTGCATCGACAACTTTTTCTCCGCCGCCGCCGCGGCGCTCGAGTTCGTCGCCCTGATCAAGCTGCGCGTGTCGCGGCCTGAGCTCGCACGGGCCTACCACATCCCCCTGAGCGGCACGCTACCGCTCTCCCTATTTCTCTCCCTCCCGATCGCGGTTTCCCTCGCCGTATGCTACGTGACGCTTGTCGAGGCCGCCGACTCTGCGGGAATCATCGTTTGCGGCTTGCTGGTGGGAGTCGCGCTGTACCTGCCGTTTGCGCTGGGCTGGGCTGGCGAGATGGATTCGCGAAGGCTATCGCGCGCGGCCGCCGAGGTCTCTCCAAAACAGGCCCCAACTGCGACCGGCGCCCTCCTGGGGTTCCACTATGGGAGCCAGAGGACCGTGAGTCGTGTGGGCGCGATCTCGTCACGAAGATCATCCGGACTGTTCTGAGAAAGCACCTGGGAATCATCTGAAAAATTCTGATTTCTGAATAGATCTACTGAAAACTGAATAATGTATGTATCTCTGAATCTGATTGCATGAGCGATTGAAGTCATTTTTCATGTAGCATCTTCATACACGACCAAAACGATAACACAAACATCGAAAGGCACTAAGCTGGCTCGAGCGCCAGTCTAGACTAAGCAGCCGCCAGATAAAAATGCGGGCGTCATGCGGCAACATGACTGCTCGCTCAACATGGCGGCCCGTGGCTCCTGTGGCGCTATGGGCATGGGCATGGCGGCCTCGGCGTGGATCCGCTGCAGCCTCCCCGCTCTCCCATGCGGACGAGGCGGAGGCGGACGAGGAGGACGAGGCGGCGGCCGAGGCGGCGCTGGCGGATGCCGAGGCGGCGAGGGCGGAGGCCAGGGCGGCGCATGCGGAGGCCAGGGCGGCGCATGGAGAGGCCGAGGCCGGCCGTCATCGTACGACGGGGTCCTCGAGGTCCTCAGGGTACTCATAGGGAGGAGGGCCGTCGTACCCGTCCCGGTAGCCGTCTCGGTAGTCGAAGGGCGGCGTTTCGTCGCGGTAGAAGCGCGGCGGCGGAGGCTCCCCCAGAAACGGCCGCGGCGGCTCGTCTGAGGTGGCGTGGGGAGGGAGGAGGGGATGGAGGCGCGGTGGGGAGGGAGGAGGGGAGGGAGGCGCGGTGGGAGGGAGG